AAGATTTATTTATTTATTTATATTCCCCATGTTATCTCCCTCATACACGCTAATAATATTTCCTTATTCGTGATCCTTCTTAAAACACAAACTATTTCTTCTATATATTTTTTTGCTGTTTCTCTGCTTTTATTTATCCGCTTCCCTTAATGAATTCTAAACCTTCCCTCCACCCTCTGTCCCTCCCTCCTATGGTCCTCCTGCCCCTGTTACACTGTTTGCTCATTTATTCCGGAGAGGAGAGAGAGCCTCCGCTTATCCTTTTAAATCTGTGTACAAGAAAAAAAAAAAGAGCTGAGCAGAAAGGAAAAAATGTGAATCAATGAAAAATAACCTGGTAAAGACTTCTTATCGCCTTCCCCCTCCTCTTCTATCTCCCATTATATAAGTATCTAGAGCTATGCCTTGCCCAATGTTAGTAATGGAACAGATTGGTCTATTTTGATATTCCTAAAGTTTTTTTAAAAATTCTAAATTATATTTTGGAGACCCACTGGACAAATTGTTTCTCACTCGTCTTCAATATAGTTGGCCACCTATTCAAGTGTTCTATTTCACTGATTCTTTTGTATCTGGTCATCAGTATGCCCTTTACCATTTTTGCTTGCCATACAACTTGTGCAATAATTTCCTAGATATTGGGGATTTTAAATGTTTTCCAGTTCTGTGTTAAACTGTGCTCCTGCTTTACTGTGCTGATTCCCTTTATGTATTTAAATATTTCTATCATATCCCCCCTGTCTCGTCTTTCCTCCAAGCTATACATGTTAAGATCCTTTAACCTTTCCTGGTAAGTTTTATCCCGCAATCCATGAACCAGTTTAGTAGCCCTTCTCTGAACCCTCTCTAAGGTATCAATATCCTTCTGAAGATACGGTCTCCAGTACTGCGTACAATACTCCAAGTGAGGTCTCACCAGTGTTCTGTACAATGGCATGAGCACTTCCCTCTTTCTACTGCTAATACCTCTCCCTATACAACCAAGCATTCTGCTAGCATTTCCTGCTGCTCTATTACATTGTCTGCCTACCTTTAAGTCATCAGAAATAATCACCCCTAAATCCCTTTCCTCAGATGTTGAGTTTAGGACTATCAAATATTCTGTACTCTGCCCTTGGGTTTTTATGTCCAAGATGCGTTATCTTGCATTTAACCACATTAAATGCCAGTGGCCACAGTTCTGACCATTTTTCTAGGTTACTTAAATAATTTGCCATTTGGCATATCCCTCCTGGAACATCAACCCTGTTACTTATCTTAGTATCATCAGCAAAAAGACATACCTTACCATCAAGACCTTCTGCAATATCACTAATAAAAATATTAATGGACCACTATAGGCACCCAGACCTTTTTAGCTAAATTAAGTGGTCTGGGTGCCAGGTGCCCCTGCAGCTGAATCATAGCCATTTCAGAGGCGCTTCCACGATTTACATTGATTAAATCACACTTATTTGCGTCCTCATGGACCTCCAGCGGCAAATAAGATCCGCATAGGAAAGCACTGAGTAATGCTTTCCTATGGGCAGGTTTGAATGTGCGCACGCGCCTCTGGCCGTGCATTCGCATTCGGCTCCACCCGGGAGCTGACATCGGCGGGGGAGGAGAGGTCCCCAGTGCTGAGGGAGCACGGTGCTGGATTAAGGTAAGTGGCTGAAGGGGTTTTTACACCTTCAGCGCCGAGGAGGGGGTGGGGGTGGGGCACTCCAAGAGCCTATAATGCCAGGAAAACGGGTTTGTTTTCCTGGTACTATAAGATCCCTTTAAAGAGAATGGGTCCAAGTACAGATCCCTGGGGTAACCCAGTTGTAAAAAGACCATGCTTCCAAAATGCAATGATTGTTAAATAAATCTGTTAATGGTTTTGCTAGTAGACCACTAAGCTCTTTTAAAACCTTTGGGTTTATTTCTTCAGGCTCCATCAACATTTTAGTCTTTACTTTTGATAGTTGAAATAGAACCTCTTCCTCTGTAAACTCACATGTAACAAATTACTTGTTTGTCCTTTTCTAGAACTGAGGTCCCTCTCCTTCATTTTAGTGTGTAAACACATTACAAAACTACGTATAGAGGCAGACAGCTAAACCTTTATCCTCTTCTACATACCTTCCTTCGTTTTTAATCTAACTAATCCTTGTTTTACTTTCCTTTTCTCATTCATGTATCTAAAAAATGTTTTGTCCTTTTTTACTGACTGGGCTATTTTCATGGACAAGGACAGTGAGAAGAGGACGGGGATCACTGGAACACACCAAATAAACACGGTGATGTGTTACTGAAATCTTTTTTGCGTTTTTGTCTGACTTATTGACATTTTTTTTATTTTGCTTGCAAGAGGAACAGTTAAATTCTGACGAAGGCCAATATAAATTTGTACTTTTGTATCTATATCTGGGTAGCCTATTGTTATAGAGCTGTATTACTCTGGATTGAAGTTGGGATAATTTTAAGGTGCCCTTTTATTTGCGAACCTTCTGTATATGATGCACACAAGGTTAACAGTTTCCCTCATTTGCAATCTATGGTGGATTGAGCAATAGTCAACAGTAGGACCAACTTCCTATTAATATGTTCTTTAAAGCCTGGATACGGTGGATTTGGAAAGTGTCCTTTTCCTCTTGCGCGATTAGTTACTATGAGGACATATTGATAAGAAGGGATAATGGCCACTTGCTATGGGTGTTTGTTTACTTTTTAAGTCTTAAGGGTAGGTAGCTGGTAACCTACCAACAAAGTTTGCCCACAATTGTTAATCTAAACTGGCACCTTTAACACTTTTTGTGTACCTAGGGGATAAGGGCATGTCTGGTTTGTTAATACTTTGCCAGCAGGCTTGAGGAGTCTAATGCAGTGGCAGTCTTCTTTCAAACGTTTTCCTTTGGGATTGAAATTTTGCATCTATATTCTGCATCTGTGAGCAGCGAGACACATTTTAACTTGAATCCCGTGATCAGGGATGGTGACAGTTACCGAGATACCAAGTGCCTTCTTGTGCCCGGTCTATAGATTTTTTTTTTTTTCCCATTGTTTACCAACCAGTTCACGTTTGCACAAATCTCTACCAATATTTTTTATAATGACCACAATCTAAACTATGAAATACATAAAAAACACAATATCTTATACACAAAACAAACATCTATCACTCATTTATGGATAAAATACTGTAATAAAACTTACTGTTATTGCATGCTCGATAGTTCCTTAAGTAAGTCAATAAAAGCAGGGCTGCACACATCGTTTAACTTAACTTCTGATTATAATCGATTTTTTTCCAAGTTAAAAGTTATTTTGGATTCAGTAGAAAGCTTTCTAAGGATTCCTAAGAGTCTCTTTGCTAATTTTCTTAGGTTTTGAAAAAAAATTTCTTCTCACTTCTTTACTTCTCACTAAATTAACATTCTATGAATTATGGATTAGCATTATTTGCACATTGAGATTAGTTAAGGATGAAATTATCCTCCACTGCAACATCCATTTTACAACCATATACACAATAAGCTATTTTAACTTATCTTACGTTTGATAAACTTTGGAACAAAGAAAGCTTAAAAGGACAATCCCGATCCCTAAAGCTCTTTAGCCTGCTGGAGTGTGTTCTTTTCAATTTCAATAGAATTTGTCACTTTTATTAATGAACCTGCTTACACATGCCTTGCAAAGACTTCTCATTCAGCTGTATTGGTAAGACTGATTAGACATCCACAGAAAGTCTAGGCTGGGTTTATAAGGGGAAGGCTTGTAAAGTCTGTAGACAATAGATCTGCAGCTTTTGCAAGCTGTTGGATATAACTCCACTAAAAAAAAAAGCACAATTATTTGCATGCCTGTTTTCATTGACAATATATCTACTAAACAATTACTACTATTATTTTTGTATTTGGACAGTCTCTTTAAATAAGGCCATGCTCATGGAGTCTCAGTAAGTATATACACTAAAAAATATTTACTTACATGTATGCATTATAAGTATATACACACAAACAAAGGCTATAATACATGCATTTTATTTTAAATAATAAATGCATAACAGTTTCTGGTACCCACATTTATTTTATACCATTTGCCTGGTAAGTGGCCAAATATTGCAGATTTATGTGGCTGAGTTTGCAAAAAACAGGTAAGTTTATTTTTCGACGTACCTTTTAATGCAACAGGTTGGACCGATTTTGCTTATTTTTTCAGTGTTTAATATCTGGTTTGAATACTTTGTATGGGTTTCAACCAATTTCCCTGCTGATTTATTTATTGCAGACTAAAAATTATTCCACGGTGGAAGTGCAATGTTGGTGCTATTCACCAAAAGCAACCAACTGGACTTCAGAGAATATCCAATTTGCAAGAAATCAGAAAATGTAGATTTTCACCAAATTTTGCCAATCCGGGTGTATTTGGACTTTATTCAACAACCCAAATATTCTGTTAAATTAGCAAAAATACTTTTATAATATTCCTGGTACCTTTCATACTATAATAAAAAACATGAAGGCAAATCTTTGTTTAATTTATAATTACATCTTACATTTTTCCTCTTTATAGATAAGATAAGGGAATTCTGCTCTGCAGAGATGGCCAGAACGCAATAAAATTCCCACAAATATGTTTACAACAAAAAGAAGAGGAATTGTTTACTGTCCTTAAAGAAACGAATATTTTGCCAATGTCAAAAAAACTCTATGAATATCAAAATAAAATGATGATAGCACAGTAACAAAGAGCCTACATGCACATCAAAGCATAGTCTCAGTGTGTTTTGCAAATTTTGAGCGTTCGCGGTTTTACTAAATCCTTAACCACGAAACACTCAAAAGTTCTGTCTTATCCAGCACTTTGGTTTTATTATGTGTGTAGGTGAAGTTCAATAAGTCTTTAACAGAAGGTGAGATGTTTTGAACGAATGACTTGACCTGACCTGGAGGTATTCCTGGGACTTTGACTCATTGCCTGTATCCATTCGTTTCGATATGTGCAAACAATGGCCACGGTTAAGTCAAAGTACATTAATACCAGAAGGACTTTCTGAAACGGCGGTTATCTACAATGCCAAGTTTCTCCATGATTTCTTCTTGAAAGGTCTTCAGGGAGGGAATGTAGGTCTTTTCTAGGGCATCTTCTACAGATGTGTCCTTGGGGCCATCTTAAATGAATAAAAATAATAATAATGATTAGAAGACTATACATTCCTATATGGATTAAACATTCAAGAGAAACCTGCCTGCTCCAGTGGTATTTACATTTCTAAATTAATATCAATTCTATCCAACATCGATTTGAGAGCATTAACTGGCTAAGGGTGCTGGGCACAATAAAAAAAAAATAAATAAATAAAAAATAATGAATTGCCCTCAACAGTCCGTAAAGTTTTATTACATGCATATTCAGATAGAGTACAGCCTGTATGTATGTATTGGTAAAGTACATCAAAACACAATTTCATATCCACAAACAAACCTAATATCTCTGTAATGTATGAAAAAAAAAAAAAAAAATGAAAATCTCCCAAGCTCAATAATTAAATGAAAGCAAAAGTCATACATGAATTTAAACCTCAATTATTTTTTTTCCAAGCTACAAAATATCTACAAAATGGATTCGGTAGAAATCTTTCTAAGGATGAAGATCAAGAAATTAATAAAATAGGTTCTGTCCCTTCAAGGCCATCACCATTCTGCCCAATAAGCAAATAATCTTAGCGAAACACCATTTGAATTAATAGACGTTTGGTGGAATGAACTGTTTAAGTACATTTTCTTACAAATCTAATTGCTCGATCTACAGGCTGTCCCAAAGGGACTATCACAGCTCCTTTGTTAAGCTGATTATAGATTTACCTTTCCACTGCTCGGGTATGATCCCATCTCGTCGTTGCAAAACAGGCTTAGGAATAATGCGTCCAGTTCTCAAGGACACTCTCACCCTTTCGCCTTCCTCTGTATACCGCCATTCCACATCTGTAGGTTTCCTTGAGTAAATAAATATTCAATAATATTTAGCTGCCGTTTTATTTGTCAAACAAAGACAGACCCAATGACATACTACATGGAAAAAGTCTAAATAACCAAACAATGTCTAGATGACAATTTAAAAACAGATGTTCCGTGGTGAATATTGTTGATCAATCTACAATTAAGATTTTTTTTTTTTAGTTCATTTCTTTATCAATTTTATGTAAGCTGCTTTTTTTCTTTGATGGTAACTTCATGTACAATAGTACAAGCACATTCAGCTATTTGGCTGACCAAGAAGCAAATGCAATAGGACTGTACCTCCCCCAGCGGCAACAATCGTTTACCAACAATCGTTTAGTAACAGTACTTGTTTTTCTACGTTCTACGTTTCAGCAACTACATTATATGTATCAAAGGCAAAATTGTTCCTTAAAAATGTAAATATTTTTGGGGCCTTTGACCAGGAAAAAAGGCAAATCCATATTTTTAATGTATTTGCCTTTTTCCTGGTACTAATATATTAGTTTTGCCCATATATTTTATACGTATTGATATAAGTCAGTCTTAACCCCTTAAGGACACATGACATGTGTGACATGTCATGATTCCCTTTTATTCCAGAAGTTTGGCCCTTAAGGGGTTAAAGGGACACTCCAGGAACCCAAATCATACAAAAATAAAAATCACTAAACACCTGACTCCCAAGATGGCCGGACATTTTTTTTTTTTTTTTTTTTTTAACTTCAGATTTAATGCACTATGTCTGTAGTTCTGGCATTGAATCATTTCCCTCCTCATACTCTAACTACCATGTAGCTGACTACATTACCAGCTGTCCATACTTCCATGAGACCATTCGAGCACAGGGTACCCTACGGGCTCATGATTTTCCTCTCTTCTTGTATCGTGGGATACACATCTAAACCGCATAACATTTAAATGCTCCTCTATTGATCTGCATTTTGTACTTCTCACGTTCAGTTGCCACCACTAGTAGCCTTCCTTGTTAATATGCACTTAACCCCTTAATGTGACATGTCATGATTCCCTTTTATTCCACAAGTTTGGTCCTTAAGGGGTTAAAGAAACACTAGAGCATTAGAAATCGAAACCTGTATTTCTAATGCTATAGTGTTCTAGTTACAGATTAGGACCAGATTTTAATAACGATTGTGTCTTGTCTTACTTGTCTGTGGGGTCAACGAGAGAGACTTGGCTTAGCAGAAGAGGGGCTTCACTCGCTACATAGGTTCCCCTATAGTCATCAGTACGACCAATGTAGCGGTAATGCTGTATGAGGGAGAAAAATAAAGTACACAGTGTATTGTACATAACATATTTCCATTCTTCTCCCCCCCCCCACCCTAAGGAATAGTTATATAAATGGGTGGCCAGTTAGAGGCTGTAAATCAGGTAAAGTTCTCAGCTTATCACCCAGACACCCCTGTCTCCATAACAACTCCAATCTGCTAATGATGTTATGGGGTGGGGAGTTTTCCGCTAAATGTGCAACAGCATGCTCTAGTAGTTAAGGTGCCAAGAGTTCACTGGTGTAATCAGACAGTAAACTGTTAAACCATTCATGAACAGCTTGACATTTACCCGGTTTTGTCTGAATTCTGTGCCGCTTCTGCTCTAAGAGGATTTGTGAAATTTCATAATACCAGCTCATATCAAGCGTGCTATCAGATGTCCATTTTTATATTAAGGAAACAATTTTATTCGAGAAAATGTTAAAATATAAAGACTTAATAGTGGCAGATTTCTCAAACTAATTCATTAAAAATATATATTCTCTCTGTGTTCTAACAGGTTTTATGAGCAGAAACATGATAAATAAAAAAAATAAATAAAAAAAAACAAGTAAAATGACTTATTCAGTTTAAAGAATTCATAGATTAAAATAACAATCTTACCGTGTTTAGACTGTCTACTACCACCCAGTTGCGTGCTCGCACCACTTGTGTGACCTTTCCTTGCTTCCCGGTATCTTTTCCAAAAAGTACTTCGACCTTGAAATGTAAGTGATAGATTTGAATTGAATCACATAATATAATAATAATAATAAACAGGTCTCTTGCTTGTATAGAACAGACCAAAGAGATTTGCAACATGTCCAGATAATTCAAATTCAAAAACACTCTCTATAACAAAGTGCACACAAACAGTGGATATATGTAGTAATAAAATGGTAAACATAATTTTACCCTTTAAATAAAACTTTAGCTTGTAAGAAGACTCTTACCTTCTGAATAAACACATAGAAAAAAATACAATCTAAAATAGAAAGAAGAACGCAATAGTGTAATATTGTATGACTCCAAGCAGCATTGGAGAATATATTGCAATCACAAGAGTTTAACTGATTGCAGGCACGTAACAAGATCTTTAAGGATGAAGCCTTTTATATTTTTTTTTCAAGAAAAGAATGCTTCACAAATAAGCTGTAAAAACTTTGAGTATGGAAACAAAGGATCAAAATACCTGACCAGCTATCAGGCTGTCTCCCAATTAACTTATATTATGCAATCTTGCCTCTCTCTATTGCCTGTACATTGCAAACTCTTTTTGAGGAGAATCCTCATTCCTTATTTGTCTTCTTAGGGAAGGAATGTAAGTTATTGCTGCGCATATTTAATATTTGGAAGATGGTATATATTGGAAAAAAAAAAGGTGAAAACTAAGATTGAAAATCTTAGTAAGTAGCGAATTAAATCAATACTTTATAACGAAAAGATACAACTCCGCAACTTACAAAAATTTATTTAGATGATACCACGACTGTATGCATATGAACCTACCAATAACACCTCGACTTACCGTGTCTCCACGGAAATACTTCCACTCCCTGTCGCTGACGGTATCTACAAATATTTTGCTTCGTCTTTTTGCAGGAGGGTTTTTTTTTTTAGCTGCCACTGTTGATGGTCGACTCATCCCAAACCGATAATCACGGGGAAGGGTCATCTTGTGTGAAGCGGCGAGGAGCTGAGTAAGACGCATGTCTTCAAGCCAATGTTGGAAAATAGGTGCTCTGTCGAGGACAAGTCTGCAGAACACAACTGGGTGTTAGCATTCTTCCTGTGTCACATACTATAGACATGTAATAAAATGCATTACCTACATAAAGAGTAAAAAATAGTTTGGGCATTCTGTAGAATATTTTACCAATACAGGAAACAGCAATGCATAAAGAAGAAGGGAAAACACTTAAAATAGATACTAATTTAAGGCTGAATGATTGTTTACCTAAGAGTTTTCTATGATAATTGCATGTTCATGGTCTTTAAATATGGAAATCTGAAGAAATCTGGTATAGAAGGAATTAAAACAGCCGAGATATTTGCCAGAAAATAGCGCTAGAATATTTTACCAGTTTCTTATTAATCTTGTCCATACAAAGGAAATGCAGTTAAGCTTTGGATTAAATGTCACATGCCACTGGTACACAGAGTGTTAACATTCAGTTTTAATATACTATGTAAAAATCCCCAAAACAGTTCATTTAACCCATTAAGGACAAAACTTCTGGAATAAAAGGGAATCATGACATGTCACACATGTCATGTGTCCTTAACACAATGACTGTTTATACGTTTTATTAGTACTTATCTGTAGTGATCTGGATTTTACATAAATTTATTTTCTAGGTAGGAATTGCTAACATGTACAGCTAAATATACTCTTAATGGACAAGTGCACGCTAAATGTTCAGTTTCCGTATTTATTGACAATATACGCAGATAATTGATGCTTAAACTAACACCCCAACTGGCTACACTTCACAATGCTGTGTTTATTTTTATAATTTTTTTTTTTAATCAATAAATATTATCTCTCACTCCTAACCTGCAGCATTTACCTTTTTTGCTCCAAAATTATTACTGTATACAACAAAACTATAAATTCTAGAATTAAATATTAATAAGAACCCAATGGCCAAAGTGTTCCTGTACATTTCCTGGTCATATAGACTTTGACCATATTTCCTAAGTGATCAGAAAGATTCTGGATAATTATTGGGAATCCTGCATTACTGCAGATGGGTGAATATTTGTACTTGGGGAATATATTGTGTAGATCATAATGATCCATTTTACACCACTCTACTGCCTAACACAATGTATAGGCTGCTCCAAAAAATAACAATTAAAATGTGAAATCAGTTAGTGGGCACTGCAAGGTACTTTAAATGTCATAATTATAGTATATATTACAGATCATCACCCCAAACCATGTGCCATTAATGGTGCATTATATCCCATAGCTCTGTGTATCATATTAACCAGTCCCCTCTGCAGCCCCTATTACTCCCAGCCAGCCAGCCAGCCAGCCAGCCAGGATACCCTGGGGGGGTAGTGCAGTTGCTGTGAGGAGGTAAAGGGCTCCTGTCTCACCTCTATCATAGGACACAGAGCTCAGACACAGTGTAAAGCATGCAGCTCTCACCTGACCCAGGAACTGTCATACGTCACTTCCGGTTGCCCTTTACACTCAGCAATTTCACAGCAGCCGCAGCTCATTACTGAACTATCACATAGTAGTTTGGGCTATATTCACTAGTCCAACGAAATTAATGGTTTTATATAAGAAAATGTTTGATAAATGCATGATTTTGTAGGTTAGCTTTGCAAAGCATCACGGGAGTTGTAGTACAAGCAGCAGCAGGCATTCCCTTTTTTTTTTCCCCCGAACAAGCTTTATTTAAATGAACAATATGATGTTTTGTTACAAAAGTAGAAATGACAACATTAGATCACCAGTAGTGGCTGGCTGACTTTGGCTTCTGCCACAAATGGTTTTCTGATCTATGCATGGCTGGCTGAGCATTGTGGGATTTGGTGTTGGAAGTTTTTTTTTTTTTTCTTTCTAAAATATTTACTAACATAATGTAAAAATCTAAGTCATACAGGGCAGCATTTAGTTAAATTTGGCAGATAATATATATCTATAAATATTTAAATATTTAAAAAATCCTCATTACCAACCATCAAGGCAGCTGTTACAGTAAAACTTACTATTAAAGGAAAACTGTAATTCACTTTTTAAATATACGTTTGTAAAAAGTTATTGGACTTGCTCTGTTTTTTTTAAATTTATTTATTTAAATCATGCATATTGATTTATTCAGGTAACAATACCTCTCAACATTTCAAATGGACAATGAGGGACATTTTAATGTTAGGAGTGTGAGTGAGGGTGTTGCCAGGTGCCAGGCTGTTCTTAGAAATGTTAGGTGATTTACTAATAACAATTTATGCAGTTAAAATGTAATTTAGAACAAGAATAATGTATCTTATTTACACAGACTGATTTCTAAACATTGTAGCCACATTACTGGGAGTATTATTGCTGTGGAGCTCTGTTATACACTCAGACACATTACTGGGAGTATTATTGCTGTGGAGCTCTGTTATACACTCAGACACATTACTGGGATTATTATTGCTGTGGAGCTCTGTTATACACTCAGACACATTACTGGGAGTATTATTGCTGTGGAGCTCTGTTATACACTCAGACACATTACTGGGAGTATTATTGCTGTGGAGCTCTGTTATACACTCAGACACATTACTGGGAGTATTATTGCTGTGGAGCTCTGTTATACACTCAGACACATTACTGGGAGTATTATTGCTGTGGAGCTCTGTTATACACTCAGACACATTACTGGGAGTATTATCGCTGTGGAGCTCTGTTATACACTCAGACACATTACTGGGAGTAGTATTGCTTTGGAGCTCTGTTATACACTCAGACACATTACTGGGAGTATTATTGCTGTGGAGCTCTTTGATACACTCTGATACATTACTGGAAGTATTATTACTGTGGAGCTCTGTTATCCACTCAGACACATTACTGGGAGTATTATTACGGTGGAGCTCTGTTATACACTCAGACACATTACTGGGAGATGCTGTGGAGACACCCCAACAATATGCATGCTTCCAAACCGTCCCAATTTTGGCAAGACAGTCCCAATTTTCTATTTCTTCCCCACCTTGGTTCTCTAGTGCCCCGCTTTTGGGGACACCAGTGAACTGTCCCCAACAATCATAGCACAAGCACTAATGCTATGTTCAGGGCAATAAGACCATAAAGGAAGCACTGTAATAGTGCCCCAATAGTGCCTTGACCTCAGTAGATGGCTACAATTATTGGCAGGTCAGCCTGGTCTGAATTCACACCAGGCTGACCCAACAGTAATGTCGACGAACCCACTCCCTTTTTGGGTGAGTCTGCCCCTTTGGGGCACAGCTAGTGCTGGTATTGCATTATTGGCATGCCCCCTTTACCTCCCTCCTACCGGCATTTCAACCCAAAATCAGGACAGTCCCTCTTGGGAAGTATGGGCCACGCTGTCCCTTATCTTTCATCCTAACCTCTGTCTGAGCTGCCATGTTGGATAATATGCTGCTGATATCCAAACTAAGCTCATTATATTTTAGCCTATTGCTGCACATCAGGGAGCGACTCATGATCTATCATCACCCGGTGCACAAGTGGGTATCCGTCTCTGCCATGCCCTCGATCGTCTGCTGCTTCTTGTTATTTGATGAAACCAAAACACACATAAATAGTGATTAAACCAAAAAACACCAACACCCCTGTACACTATGAAAAAACGTGAATTATACAGAAATATAAAAGAAAAACAAATTGGTGTAGTGTGTCTTTAACAAAAAAAGATGTGGTTGCGAGGATAATGGTTGCTGAGGCGGAACACGAGAACGCTGACAATTGCAAACATCTCGAAGAGGACCAGGCTACTGTTACTGCGATTTTGATCGGTACTTAACGGTATCTGGTGGTGGAATTGACGGACATAAGTAAAATCTATTGTTACAATATATTCGCAAAAGCCGTGTAAAATTATCGCTATTGTTTGCACTAACAGAATGTGATAACTGAAGGAGGAAAATAAAAGAGAGGCATGGAGAAAGTAGGGGAGTAATTAAGGTGCTCTGATAAACCAGCAACAAGCCAGCAAAAAGTATTTGCATTTGCAGGTGTAAAATAGCAGGAGAAAACTCCATACAAATAAGTAAACAAAATTATCTAAGCTGTGTTAAGTAAAGAAACGATGGCGACTAAAAAGCTATAAGAGGAAAAGAGATTAAAAAAAAGAAACGCTACCAGAAAAAAAGATTATCTGTTTTTATTTTCCCCTTCTCAAACTAAATCTCAGTTGTATACAGAAATTAGTGAAGTATTAACTCCCGCCAAAATATAATCCCCCTCAGGAAGTACAGGGTTATAACCCTTTAACTAAAGAGATACTGACAAACTATTTGGATACCTTTTCAAGGACTATAAAATAAGATATTCTGAGCAGCTCTGCTGAATTAAAACAAGAATTGCAAAATATGCAGGGAAAGCTGTCTTTAATAAAGTCAAATTTTGTACAGATGGAACTAAAATATAATCAACTATAGATGACATTCTCAGATATGAAGACAAAATTGGACCAAATAGAAGGCAAGATTAACGATATAGAAGATCGCTCAAGAAGATCAAACATTAGGATTCGTAATATTCCAGAAACTATCTCTGATAAAATGTTGAAAAGTTTTTTAGTGGAATATTTTGGGAGATTAAATCTGAAGAAGGATTGAATGACTCTGTGATGGAACGATTTCACCGGTTACCAAGAGCCCACAATATACCGGATTCTCTTCCCTGAGATGTCATGGTTAAATTTCAATCCTACTATGTTATGTCCAGGATTTTGACATCATTAAGAAGAAAGCCAGAACTGGAAGAAAAATTCAAAGGTCTATTGATATTTCCGGATTTATCCTTCTATTCGAGAAGATGGCGCAGAGGCCATCTTGAACATTCTAAAAAGCAGGGATGTGAAGGATGTCTGGGGTTTTGCTACTATTCTTAGAGTGTATTGGAAAGAGAAGATTGACAAATTTGAAACTCCTGAACTACTAGCCAAATGGATGGAAAAGAATTATATACCTGGACAATGAACCTAAAGTGAAGTTACG